ATACAACTGGGATCAGAACCCTTACTGAGATTACATCCCCCTCAACACCCCTCCATGGGTTTCGTATAGTCCAAGATTTACCTATTAAAATCTCACCTATTTTCCTCTACGATAATCTAAACCTTATAAGGCTCAAATACATTAATAAGAAATTAATGAAAAACCAATTAAAAATATCTTATAAAATATATTATACACACAGGATGGGGGCTGTACCCAGTCGTAGAAGAAGTAGCAAAAACAATGGAAAACGTAGATGGGTTTCGGTTGAGGCAGTTATGTGATGTAAAACGCCAACTAGAACAAGATCACGATATACGGGCGTCATTAAGTAAGAAATACCATAAAGGTTACACTACACTAAATCAGTATCGCTTGCTCGCTGAGCCGGTCCGTATGTAAACTAGTCAAGAGAGACAGAGACATGTGACAGCTGTGATTGGATGAAATAGTGTAAGATGTTTGTATTTGAAAAGATGTTTGTATTTGAAAAGCATATCAATCCAGTAATTAAAACTGACCACAATTTTAAGTATTCAGTGCTGTCATTTTCATCACCATGACTTATGCTTATTATGTGTACAGATATTTTCCAGTAGGTGACATTTGGTGCGGAACTGGGGTTGATGTGTTCCGCTTCCTGTCCTCGCAAAACGAGCCGGACAAGTTGGCCTGATATTGTGTTTTATTTAAGAAATACACTTTGCTCTACGACCATAGAGTCCTCGTGCTTTAACTATAATAGCTCAGGGCAAAAGTGTGTTTTATTACACTATACATGGTGGTAGGGCGGAGTGTATTTCTTTTCTAAGGTGCCAAATTTAATACTTTCTAAAGTTAATTACGATTAATTTAAGGCAGAAAACAAACGACGGTGTCGGTGGCCTAAATTAAGAATCCTCGCACAGGGCTAACTGGCGCGCTGTTCTACTGATGTGTCTGCCCCCTACGTTAAGACGAACGTTACCAGAAAAAAACAAATGATAACAGTTTGATGACGGTTTACGTTCGGATTAAATATCTTCTCTGAATTATTTTAATTACATCTGTCATTAACGTAAACCATATAGGGCAATATGAACGTTGCATTTCTACTACCAGCGTAAGTTTAGATCAGTACATCCAGCGGAAGTTGAGTAGTCAAGCGACATTCCACAATTGCATTGTGAGAATGTAAACATTACGAACGTTACCGTGTCGCTGAAAACTTGTGAGTCGAAATGGCACATTTTAACCGTCGTAAAACATAAACGTAATGTTTCCACCAGTGATGTTAGCTGCGTGAAGCAACAGCGAACCAAGAAACTGGATGCAACGGTGTAGTTTACTGTAGGAGGCCGTACGAGGCGATGACAACTGACATGCATCGGGACGTCGCTTACATTGTGACGTAATGTAAAATGGTTCGATTACGAGGGGGCACACTAGAATGGCGCAGTGAAAGGATAACGTCATTCAATTGTTACGTCATCAAAAAACTATACCTTTATTGTCTGATAATGATGTTTTTTTTCGATCGTTCTAACCACTAGGCATCTTAGAATGTAGTTTAAAGGCCAGAGTGGAATGGCTGGCGATAGCTTGTCTATTTTTAAAAAAATTATAAGGTTACTATAGAAGTTTATGGCAAAACATTTGGTGGTGTGTAACCTAAAGCTTTCAATTTCGTGGATGGGGCTGATACCACCCTTATGGCAACCAGCATGGGATTAGGAGCAGTAGGTGTCGGTTTGTTGACCACCATTGCAGCCGCACCCATAGGGCTGGGCATTGAAATAACAGCTGGGGTGTCAGGGTTGGTGGGGTTGGTGTTTAAGTTTGCATCCCGCAGATTACATCGTAAAGCATTGAAACACGACGAGATCAGAATTCTGGCCGAAGAAAGGTTAAACACAATAGATGACCATACTTCCACCGCACTCACAGACAACAAGATCTCAGAGGAAGAATTTCGTTTGGTCCTCTCTGAAGTCACAAAATATCACAGAATGAAACAAGAGATTCGGTCCAAGTCTCGTAAAAACACTGACATCAGTGAAGACGAGAAAAAAGTACATAGAACAAGGGATTACAACAAGCCCAAAAGCTTTCATTACGAAAACCAAAGAAATCATAGGAGATTCACATTAAATTGTTTCGCTCAGATCAACATTCTATAAGACGGTCACAATAGTGGCACGTGACCAGGAAAGTGCCGATTCGCGGTCATAGTGACCGGGAACTTGGCTGGGGATTCAAAGGTGGTAGCACACTAGCGGAGAGAGATAAGGGACTGAAAAAAGCTTTATTATTAAATAACCTCACCTCATTATTAAATAAAGCTTTACAAAGTCTTTTGTTGGAAGTGATCTCGTACCCCTGTTGTATATACTAGTAGTGGCCAATTCTGCTGCTAAGCAAGCACACGACAAATCTGTAACACCACTTCGGACACCCTCACAGTGATCATAAATTTATTAGCAGTTACATGCGTGATATAATGCCAAAGAAGTGGGTTGGCAGTCCAGATTTGTAGAGGTCATTTTAAGCTGATGACGTATCGCCTACAACAGCTATTAGTATGAGTACTTAATAAATAAGTGAAAATCCGCCTTTTGTATCCCTTGTGATGAAAGAATCACAGACAAGCATGTCCTGCTTGACTGTGTTCATTTTTCCATCACAAAAGGATAAATATTTCAATGTCAAACAGACCAGGACCTTTAAATAAATGTTAATTCTCATTTAATATTATGCTTTTTTAAAAGAAATATACTTCATCCATAAATTATGATGTATAGTGAAATATTTTATACGACGGTAGTTTGTGCTTATTATCTGAGATTGTTAGTGGCCACGTTCACAATATATGAATCTTTATGTGTAAAAACGATCAAGGGTCATTTTAATAATGTTATTTTTCTAAATGAAATAGAATTGTTCGAAAATTCTGATCAAAAGATTTAGTAAATAGATAAACGCTATTCTATAACTGGTAGATGAGTTAGTAACTGAGATGGTTAGTGACTTTATCCTCAAAGGTGGGTAATGTATCCCACCACGTTTTACCAAGCAGAATATGAGTTAAATTTTTGGTTACATTTGTCTTGATCGGTAACATCTGAAGGGATGGTGTAAATCAAGCTAGAGTTCATACAGGTAGCACAGAAGTCTTATTTTGGTTTTTATTATGGTGACCAACTTTCAGTTGTTGGCGATTACCCCATATTAATATTGTATTTTTGTGTATAAAAATAGTGTTTTATGGTGACAGGCTGGTTTTAAGTCAAAGCTGTCATAATCCTTTATTTAATTGTCCTTTGTCGACAGGTATTCATATTCAAGTTTGTTAGTGATAACATACCCTCATAGTCACGATATGGCTGACATACTGCCGATGTGACCATAAATTCTCGCTCGTTCACTCATTCTTAGGGTTAAAGGTCACATTCAACCAAAAAATCAAAAATAATTACAACACAATTATCACTTATTCATGACATTACAATATACATGGCTGATTATGAAAAACATATAAACCAAATATTAAGCGCACAATCAAAAGTGCAATATTTTGTACTTGAGTTTACTTCCCCTAGAAACGAAGCAGCCGGGATACCGAACCCAGTCAGAGCGGGTGGGTGTGCGCTCAAGTGTAACGGCTTGTTCATTTGCAGATGCCCTCACGGCTCATTGTGTGTGTGTATATATACAGATGTTGGGTTTTGTAAATACATGCTCATTTTTTGTGTATAACATTTTGCAATCAAGAGACATCATAACATGTGATGTGTACAAGTATCACACCTGCCTGTCTGTGTAATTACATAATGTGACAGAGACCGAAATCGGGCCATAAATCAATGCGTTTTGTTTATGGTGTATAGCCTGATAGGTGTTAAGTTCAAATTGCATGTGGTCAGTGATTGAAGTTGTGTATTGAATATTGTCATTAGCAGACAGGCAGGCAGACACATAGGTGTCAATAAAACAGACACTGAGTTTTGTCTGTGACAACAACATACATGTATCTATATCACAGTTAGAAATTCTGTCGACGCTAAATAATGGCATTGCTTTTAAGTATCGAACTGAGAAAGTGACTTGGTAAGAAGAACGTGTGGTGAAATAGACAAATGAAATTATATAAACAGTTAAATCGGTAATCTACTGTCATAACATATAAAAAGCTTGCGCCTGTGAAATATCAACCAAACATTAGAAAAATAGCTCACACCAAAGCCTTCACCGAGTATTCACCGCCAGCTAAGGGTTTCCGTCTTGAAATGTCGAACGCCTCACTGGTTCACACATAGCTGAGTAGATCTAGATCCTAAGAAGGTTCTTTTATGTAATGAGTACATTATTTACTATTTGTTTTGATTAGACTACTCCTGCTCACGGCTTTATAATCCGGACAACCCGCTTCCAAGTTGCGCGAACCTATTTCACTGCGCATGTGCTAAGAGCGCAGCGCAGACCAGCCCAGCGCAGTCCAGCTGTTGAAACCACTTTTTTCCCCAAGCGCTGGGGGAAAATTAGTGAATCATTTTAACTCCGATTTCGCGCGGGTTTTTTTCATCGCGTTATTTTTCAACTTTATAAGTTGAATTTGCATTTTTGATGATTTGATTCAGTAAATCCATACCGAAAGGTATCAGAATCTGCAAAGTTGTGTTATACATTGCATGTGACCTTTAAGGCAAAAGGTGGTGGTGGTGTTGATCATAGTACCGACCCGTTAGTGTTGGAGACATTTGTAGCATTATGAGATGTGTCACTTCCAAGTGATTTGATCAAATAACTTAGGCAGCGATGATTACATTCATGGATTAATTCTATGCTATTTGAAGCCTTGTCATTGGGAACTATACATTCATGTTGTGGGACGTATTTTTTATTGTTTTACGGTACAAGTCTTTGCCTTTATCCGATTTAGTACTAGTCATGTCACTATTATCTTAAAACAAAACAACAACAAAACTTTAGAGCATACATATAATTTATGTGATTCCACATACCTGAGTCTGTTCTTTTCTTCCTGTGAGTTGCATATCAGTAGAGTATCACCCATTCTGCTCAGTCTCCTGGCCACCTCCACCATCAGAGTGTTGGATTCAATGTCGGTCTCCTGTCTGCAGCAAACATATCTACTTTCGATGTTCTCCACAAGACACGCACACTGATCAGAAGTGAGAAAGTGGATACAACTGTCATCTACTTCACCTGTCTCTGTCAGGACAGACTTTGTCTCCGCAACAGCTGCCCAGAAGGCCATCATCACATGTTCATATTTTGCAAGAGTCATCAACAGAGAAGACTTGGGAACGAAGGATGCAGATAATGCTGCTACTCTCTGTAACTTTATGTAGCACGTGTCTGTGTCTATGAGGTCACTCAAACTGAAAACTCCATGTATCACATTAATGCTTTCATTGGTAAACCTGCGTAGTTTTGAAGTCACTTCTCTAGCCACAGTGGTGTTATACTTCCTTATCTCTTCAGTTTCAGTGCCGTTGTCAATCAGAGTCAGCAGCATGAGGGGTTGATGGGGCATTGCTATGAAGGCGTCATACCTAGTGTTTCTGTGTGTCCGTGGCACAGGGAGATCCAGTAATGCTGCTAAATATTCTGATAAATACAAAAGACATGTGGTGTCTCTTTCACCCAATGGTTCACTGGTAATGATGTTTTCTTGGTACAGAGCTCCATTTGTCATCAGCAGCGAAATGAGGCCATCTCTGATATCTGATAGGTGCGAGGGTATCTTCGATGGAACAACATTTAGTACACCTGTAACATCAGTATACATCTATTATCTCATCAGTTCTATGACACTAAAAAGAACAACTTGTGACTATGTTTTAATAATAGCAAATCGTCGATAGGCATTATGTCATCCTCTAACAACATTAAAGAAACACTTACCTTTCTTCACAAAGGTGTCTTTAATCTTAGTAATGCTCTCTACGACGGGATTCAAGCGAGGACGCTGAAAATCCTTGCTGTTTAAACTCACTTCTCGCCCTGGCATTTTGTCGTATTTCCTGAAACATACCGACACAGAAACCATGAGACAAGAACCCCAGTAACAGTGCTGTGATAGAACAACAAACAAAAACAAGGAAACTTAGTTTGATCTAAACGGTAACGATCAATTGAATCCATGATGAGCTTCATACTACCATCTAACTTTTGCCACTATGTTGAACTAGATATATTTATTATTGAATAAAGAAAGTTTGACCACAGTGAGAACTTACCCTGCTAATTGAAGCACACACACTGCTATTTTCTGTTTTTATTAGTAATCTTTATACATGATAATGATATTTTTACAAATTTGCAAATCATGTTTATAGTCGAAACTTTTCCCATTTTCTCAAATTAAAAAGCTACTCTGTTTTCAATTTTGCGGTCCTTTATCGTTGATTTAAGACCGCTTAAAAATGTAATTTAAAAACCAAACGCGTTAAAAAAATTAGAGTAGCTTTATCTTCATTCTAGCACGACTGATAAGTGTTTTAAAACCAGACTCTTTGGCGTGCAAAAACATAAGGCTTGAAGGGGCCTTTTCCTGGAAATGGCTAAAATATCTTGGACATTTGTTTTTTTACTTCAAAAACCTTAAAGATGCTGTCGGGGTTGAAATCACCGATGTCCGACATGTTTGTTTACAAACGAAAGGGTCAACGAGTTCATTGTATTCATACGTGGTCAATCGGTCACTTTAAGAACAGTTTTGATGAGCTCTCAGCCAATCAGAATCGAGTATCACACAATGTCGTGCTAGAATCATAATGTTATCATTAGCAACAGTGTTGGGTTTGCCATCCCAATGAAATTACTGCAAAATAAGCTCAAACTAGTTAGGTACTGGAATGTGTTCTCCATTAAATAAAGACAAAATTCAGTTTTCAACGATTAGTAGTAACCAAATACACTTTAAATTGTTGCAAAGCTGACAATAAAGCAACAATAGTTTCTATTTCAATGGACGAATAATCTATCCTATAAGACAAAATGTTATGGATGTCAACGTCTTTATTGTTTACACAACGTTTCTGGGCTATTCCTTGCCCCTTCGTCAGGTGGATGTGACGGTCTGGGTGAGAGGGTGATACCCAGCGAATGTCGTGGTGAAAGCTTCAGAGGTGTATTTCAGTGGTGTTTGTGGCAGAAATGCGTGAGTGTATTTTTGTATTGCATTTTGAATATTATTTCTTTGGACGTGTGTGAATTAATTGAATATTGAGTGTTTTGTATTGCATTTCGAATCACAGTTTGTGAAAAATGTGAGTTTACTATTTGAATAAGAAACGTAGTATTGGGTGATATTTTGACGGGTTGTGTTATACATTTGATTATTTGTGGGATAGTTGTGCGGGTATTAAACTGTATTAGAGGTAAAAAAATAGTGTTACTGGGCAACTGAACAGGTCGTGTTGAAATGGCATAATATATGAGCCTAGGACATATTAGTAAATACAAGTGGTTTGTATTTAAGCATCCAGGATATGGTGTTACTGAGAGCCTGTCATGAAGACCTATGGTTTGTCAACGATGGACTGTTGAACTTGATATTCTCTAAGAAGGTGATATGCTATAACCAGAGGGCATGCGTGAAGATCACGAGGAGAAATTCCCAAGGTTGGAGTAGTGGCTATTGTAGGCTGACGAGTCGGACAGTGGAACTACGGAGGACGGCTAACAACGCCAGTGACCTGGGATAGTGTATGTGAACTGTGGGTTCGTACTGACAGAGGTCAGGGATTGATGCCAAACACGGACACTGTTATATTATTCTGTTGCCATATTAACCACCAATTATTTGTTACCTTGTTGCCATAGTAACCTACAGTTGTATCACTATAGATTGTACCCGATATCAGTTATGATCGTATGACTGTGCCGGTGAGAAGGTGTTGTGATTAGTGATGGAGGGACTGTGTGCAGGTCAAATGTGCATCATGGTTGGAGTATACTGGGATGAGGAAGGCAAAGCTGGGGTAACTGCGTGTGATTTACATGTGAGACACACGTGGTACTGCATATGTCAGTGTTTTGTATAGAATGAATGAATGTGTGTATGATAGCGTGTTTTGTCATGTATAGGTGGGGGTTTGGGTTATAAAAAATTGTAACCCAATCTTTTGCTCTGTTTGTGTCAAAGACAAATTATTAACTAACAACTCTGCTATTGCTAATAACCTTGGTGAAACTTTGGCTATAAACATTCTTCCTTTTCTAATTATGTACCTCAATTCGAAAAACATAAAAGAAACTGGAAAAGAACACTATTACTTTCAATTCAGATAATGGGGAAGATTACGACGAATAATTTTCTGTTAATGAGCTCCATGCTGCCCTTGGGTAAGCTCATGATACTGCTTCAGGAGCTGATAACATTGACTATCAGCTTCTGAAACACTTACCAAAACCAATGTTCAGAAACTCTCCTTTCCATAGTTTCACCTTCATGGCGTGAAGCAAATGTTGTTCCCATACCAACACCTGGTTCGGATCATACTAAGCCGACAAATTACAAAAAGCTGCGTTTGCAAAACCATGCAACGCATGGTCAATAATAGACTAACTTATTGGATTCCAAGTACCACGTCAAAGGCACAATACCACCCATTTTGGCCAATATTTTGGCCTATATTATATATATGTTGGGGCATATGCACTGACTTTTGCTTCCTGTTGATGCAATGAAATCTCTTACGACCTGCCTAAAATCGTTACTGAAACTTCGAGGTGAATAGCCTCCAAACAGACAACACTGTCCATGGAAAACTGTCGCACGCAGTGTTGTCGGTGTTTGCCGAAATGGGTTTCAATCACAGGTTGTGCGTAGGATATTCGTAAAGAGCGCTACTTGGGACATAATTCTATAGCAATCATTTGAAATAATGTTCGGCCATGCAATGAACAATAACAAACATGCAGTGGCTATCTTTTTCATTTAGATAAGGCATACGACACTACATGGAAACAAAGACATCATAAAATATTTACATGATTTTGGACTATGAGGCCGTCTCTCTCCGTTCATATCCAAGTATTTAACCAGCAGGCACTTTCGAGTCCGCGTGGGTTCTACCCTGTCTGACCATTATAATCAGGGTCAGGGTGTTCCACAAGGCGGTATTTTATCTGTCACATTATTCAGTATTAGAATAACTAGTCTCTCTGAGGTCTTAAAATGATTCCATTGATGGATCGCTTTTTTGTGGATGATTTTAACATTTCATGTTGTGGGAACAATATGAATACTATCGAACGGCAGTTACAGTTATGTTTAAATAGATTTCATAAAAGATTGTTTGAAAATGGATTTAAATTTTCAAAGTTAAAAAACAAAATGTTTCCTCTTCTGTAGGGATAACAAACCTCTCCGAGATCAGATTTAGTTTTAGATGGCAATCCTATAAAAGTTGTAAAAGAAGCCAAATTCGTAGGTATACTTATGTATCACCACTTGACCTTTTAACCACACATAATCCTGCCTTTGTTTTTAGTTCTTTATATTAGGATTTGTATATAAGAAACAATATCTTATTCCTCCCCTTGGAATAAGAATAAAACCTGACATTTCTACTGCCAAATCTGTTTCATATTTATATGTATGCACACAGATTCAGAGTGACAAAAAACTCTCCACAAAGCTTTATGACAAAAGGGATGAACTTTTCAAATATAGTCAACTTCTCTTTGATGTCGAGCAATATTCCAACAGCTCCAGCCTTTGATGTTTACATTTCACAACTTTTGAGGTACAATCAAGCGTGCTCTTTTTATCAGAATTTCAAAGAGCGCCATGCCACTCTTGCTCAGAAATTGTTTGATCAAGGTTACAACATTCAAGGCCTCAGTAAAGCTTTCAAGAAATGTTATGGTACCTATATATGGAATACATTTTTAAATTTGATGCATCAGTAACAAAAATGATGCCCGATGCAGTTCCATTTTTTTACTTATACCATACGTTTCCGAATTATTTCAGGTGAACAAATGACTAGACTTAGCATATGTTTATGGCGCGTGCCACCTGAGGGGCAGGATACACTCACCTTTTCGCGAACACCTGGTATCATCACTATTTCATAGTGATTCATAAACAGATGCTCTGTCATCGTATGGCATGGTTACAATCACTGGATTGTATGGTTGTGACCCAATTTGTTTACAAACAACGTCATATAGCTGTAATACTGAAACAAATATCTTCTCATGATATATACCGGTAGTCACAACCGTACAATCGACACTGCTTTTGGCAGAGATTTCCTATGAATGTGGAAAGGGTTTTGTCCCTTCTATTACCAATAACGAAAAAGCTACGATACTTATTAAGCTATACTTACGGATGGCTCTAAAGATGGTAGCACAGCTACTGTCGTTGGACTGACTAGGGACCATATGTCCAGGATTATCAATTAACAGCTCAATTTTTCCTGCCAAATCAGTAGCCATATTTACAGCTCTAAGATATATAAAATGTCAATCTGAAAATAGACAGCTCATTATATTTCCTGATTCCTTCTCTTGGCTTCGGTGCATTAAAATATTCCCTGCCAACTTTTCACAGAAATATAATTATCTTGCTACTGGTGAAGGTCAAGCATGTCCTGCTTAACTGTATGAATTGTTCCGTAACAAAGAATAAATATTTCAATGTCAAAATAGTCCAGGACCTTTTTAACAAAATTATTTCTCATTTAATATGATACCTTTTAAAAGAAATACGCTAAACTAATTTCTAAATTTTGATAGTATATAGTTAAATATTTTACAAAACGGTAGAATGTGATTATTAACTGAGATTGTTAGTGGCCATGCCCTTGATGGGGGTTGAAGTCCACCTGAGTGGGTATGTAAGCCCATATCAATCAAAGAATAGTAATGTAAACCAATATCTATGTACATTTTGGATCAATTGCTAAACTTGCGTACAATCGCTAACAGCTGAAGGGATAGTTTAAATCCAGCTAGGGTCAGGAAGCCAAAGTACTGTAAGTCCCCATGGTCTCAAGTATGATGATCGACCTTCAGTTGTTGGCGATCTGTAGCCCGCGTTTTATATTGTACTGTCTTCTTCAATCAAAATGTTTAAAATTTTACATTCTAGTTTTATATTCATATCTGTGATACTCTATCGTCGACAGATTTTACTCTTGACAATGTTGTCATTTATATTGTATAAATTGTTTTCGTTTTTCGTACAATACTAACTCACTCACCGTTGGCGATCCACAGCCCGTTTTTATGTTGTCTTGTTGCAGGTTGATATATTATATAATAGTATTCTTTGGTTACACACTAGTTTTAAGAGAAATTCTATGATATCTAGTGATTTACAATCTTTCTTTGACATGTATACGAGCAGCATAAAGAAACTGTGCATCGTCAAAATATTATCCCAGTGGATAAGTACGATAACCATGTCAAAGGTACATATAAACTGTAATGGATGGATCATGAGACCATAACAAGTCGGGAGAATTTCAATTGAAAAGTCAATCTCAATGACGTCACGAGTCCACAAGCGGGACAGGAGTCAAACGACCATGTCACAAACTCAATAACGGGTATGTCCACCATCGGCATTGAGAACAGCAGTGCATCGACGACGCATAGAGCCAAGCAAACGTGCAAGGAAGGCTTGTGGGATGTCACGCAAGATTCTCTCAAGTTCTGTTGCAAGGTCAAGGACGTTATCTGGCGGATGAGGAATACGGCGTAGAAGTCTATCCATCTCGTCCCAAACATGCTCTATCGGGGAGAGATCCGGTGAATTTGCAGGCCAAGGCAGTAAGTCAACGTTGTGGTGTTGCAAGAAATCCATAGCAACCCTTGCCGTATGAGGGCGGGCATTGTCCTGCTGGAATGTTAACCAAGTGCCATGACGTTGCAGAAAAGGAATTGCCACAGGTCGAAGAATCTAATCCCTGTAGCCCACACCAGTTAAGTTGCCCTGATCAGTCACCAAAGGAGTTCTTTGGCGTGCTGTTATTCCACCCCAAATCATCACGGAACCATCACCAAAGCGATTCCTCTCCAAGACACAGGCCTGTGCATAACGTTTTTCCCACGCGTCTATAGGCACATTGACGTCCATCACTATGGGAAATGTTAAACCTGGACTCATCTGTAAAAACAACATTTCTCCACGAAAAAACAAGGGTCTGCGAACATGATTTCGGCACCACATTCGGCGAGCTTGTCGATGACGTTGTGTCAGGATAGGCTGTATGGCGGGACGTCGTGGTCTGATCCCGTGATGACGTAAACATTGTCGAACTGTGTTGGGGTGGATACGACGAAGTCCTGGGATGGTTCGGGCAGTCATCATTGCAGTCTGAAACCTGTGGTGAAAATGGGTCACCCTTATCCATCTGTCCTGTCTTGGCGTTGTTAAGGACGTCCAGAACGTTGCCGATCGATGACGTCATTTGTGTTCTGGTAGCGTCTCACCACTGCAGAAATGGTGTTCCGGTGGTAGTGGAAATGTGCAGCCACTTGTCGTTGAGACATTCCCCCACGGACCATCCCAATGGCCTCATGACATTGTGCAAACGTGAGCCTTGGCATGCTATGCGTTTCAATAGCCGTTTAAGTTTCTGAAGGATCGCAAGGGCAGGGGTTGAGCATTCCAAAGTGACAGTATTGTGTGGTATTCATTTGCTCTGTTTCTCTTTCCCTGAAATGCACATTCAACAACGTATTGCACGTCTCAAGGACGAACCCACTGAAGTCACGGAACGTGGCACGTGCATGCATGTTGGATACATGTCACTAATATCTGAGTTTGAATCCTTATGTGTCTACACAGGTTTGATAAATTTAGATTTAATTTTTGTATGCACAGTTTCTTTAAGTGCCTAGTATATTTATTCTATATAAGTTGGCCTTTATTAATAGATAGGTTTAGTCGTCTGGATAAGGCTGAATTATTGCTGATGAGATGTTAAATGTTCGTTCACTTACTATATTATACTTTGTGGGTTGAGTGAGTGAGTGAGTTAAGATTTTAAGTCACATCGGCAATATTTCAGCCATATCGTGACTAAATCAAGATATGAATATATTAACAATTAAAGGTAAATTATAAAATTCTGTCACCGAATGACAGTACAACAACTATATTATCACAGATATAAATATAAAATATTTTTTGAGTTGATTTGAACGATAAATGCATGTTCCACTACAGCACCCATGTCTCGTTCCATTACACAACATGGACATTTAGCTTTCCAAATAAAAAGAAAGTAGACATTGCTAAAAATCATGCTATCGGATTGTTAGAGACTCAAATACAACCCAATGACAATCAAGAATGTTAGCGAATGGTAATGCAAAAGACATCCGATTTGCATAAACGGAGCGGGAGTTGAGACTTGTACTGAGGAATCTACCATTACACTTTGACAACTTTGGCATTGCAGTATGAGAGGCAGAACATATCATATGTCACTCACTTGCCTGAGCACAGGCTTCGGGTGGTTTCCAGGAGATCCAGTTTGGGACATTGGAAATGTATTGGGAGTTAATATTGTTATCCCCACGTAGTGTCATGATCGTTTGTTGCTTGTATCCTGTCTACCAGTACTTGTTTTATTATTACAATTTGAAAGTCAGTGTCAAGTTTCCATTTTCGAAGAGTATATATTCTTGTGGAATGAAACTAAAATATATAATGCAAAACACAAATGACCCAGAAAGTTAGCAAACTTACTGACTTGTTTGTGATCTGTTCATCTACTTCACAACGCTGTTCACGAGGACGGCATGAAACCACTGTTTTACAGAGTATGGTTTGACAGTGTCTGCTTCCACTCTGTATGCCAAAGGCCCCTGTTTGTCATAGAACACTATGCCACTGACAGGCTGGACGTGTACTTGAATAACAAACTGTTCAGGGGTCTTCACAGTAACATCAGGTTGTTCGTTGTCTCTTGAAGATGGAATGAAAAATACATTCACAATGTCATTGTGTATTTCGTGTCCATCATAGTCACAGATTAAGACACCTTTTGAAACTCCTTCCTTTATTTTAGCTTCTACATTCTGCTGAATACCGACTGGAACTTGTTGAATTTCCATAAACTTTGACTTGTATGGACTTCCATTGATGGAAGTCTCTTTCTCTGCGATGCCAAAGAAGTAGGTACCACCATCAGGTAGTTTTGAAAATGCACTAATGTATTCAAGAAGTCTGTGGTCATCCAACATGTAATGGACTGTTTTCTCATCGGTATCCTTCCCTTTGAAATAGCCTTTGAATTGAACGGATCTACTCTCATGAAGTTTAGTTAAGCCCCGCAATGTATTTGCATTAGGATGCACTGATCTAAACTGAGGTTTGCTTTTCAGGAATCTTATCAAAGTTTGATCAGATGGATTGATGATTCGTTCGTCCAGAGCTATTTTTGTTTTAGAGTCAGATGTGGTGAGATATACGCCACCTTCAACATACAGTACAAGGAAATCTGTATAATGGCGTGTATCCTTTAAAGTAGCCTTATCAATACACACAGACAGTTTCTTTTCTTCTTTTAACTTAATGTTCTGCAAACTTTCAATTTCCTTCACCGTATCCACTACTTTCTGTCTCTGCTGAAGTATTGCATCAAGCAATTGCTCATCCAGTGTCTCTTTAGCCTTCAATCTTAGCTTTTCCAGCTGCTCTTGCGCGCGTAGTTGTTCCTTGGTTTTCGCCTCGAGTTTTCCTGATATCTCTTGAAGTACTTCCTGTTGCTTCTTCTGCAGTTTGTCTAGATCTGTGGCGTAATCACTCAGTAACCGTTTTGAGTACACATCTGTGAACAGGCTTCCGTCTTGAATCAAAGTCTGAAGTTTGTCATCAGCAAATTCGTCAAATGCCCCAGTAAAGGTGTCTTCTTTTTCTCGTCCCACGAAGTGAATCAATAGATGCCCTGAATTAGAATTGCGGAGTGCAGTTGCGTTTTTCAACAATTCCCTTGCTTTTATAGCCCTCTTTTCCTTCTTCCTTTTAGTTTGTTCCCTGTTTTCCTGTGCTAGACCATGTATGTAGTTGACATGTATTGCCATGCACAAAACATTGGACTGTGTGGAAATATCTCTATAAGTCTTGAGTGCTTCCTTTCCTCTTGGAATATTGAGTCTGAAACATTCAAAGGGCTTTCTGTATATGTAACACTTAGTTGAAGAGAAAGCGAGACAAGAATCCAACAAGAGAAGCGTATATTAAAAGCATCTGTCATTTCAGCATGAACCTTTTTACATTATGCAGGTTTTTTATACCTCCTCACAATAGTCTGTCGTAAAAAGCATGACATGCTCTTCTGTGTCGAATATCAGAAAAGGAAGGGGTATACAAGCTGCATAGTGTTAATCCAATGTCTGCAGAGTAAGATGAACAGCCACAGTTTGAAGATTTGTATTTAGAGATGGGGGCTATGCTTGATGCCCTGTCGTACTAAAAGTAAAGCACCATGGCTGATTTCAGTGTAAATAACCCTCTTGCTGATAATAATAACAAAAGTAAAATCATTCAGGAATTTATTTCATAGAATAAACTAAGTATATATAATAATGATTCAACCACCTACCTGATGAGTAAAATTTCAAGGGACTCGCCAAAATTGTTTACTTATCAGGTATTTTACTTATCCAAACTTATAAAAACCTGCAAATGACAACCATATGCATGTATATGTATGCATATGTAACAATGAACAACTTATCAGGGCTGGCCTCCAGTTGTCAGTGTATTGTCAACTGCTTGACGCCAGCGAGTTGTCAGTAGGATGTTTGTTTGACTGGAGACTTACACGACTGCCCCTGATGTCTGATTATGTGGTGATCGCTAATGTAGTTATCCAGTCTCTTTTGTTAAGTAATTTTCTTGACCGTGAGAAGACGTCTAGTTAAGCGGTATTGTTTACTTATCCGAGTTTAGTTAACCGGATTCTAATAGTGATAATTAAAGAAGAAATTTGCCGGGACCAAAGAATAGTGTTTACTTATCAGGTCTGTTTAGTTAAGCAGTCTTTACTTAGGCGGTTTCCACTGTATTTACATTCAGCCACTTGAACATATTCTTCCCTAGATCTGGCACTCCATCTTGTATAATGAATTTGAATAGGTGGTCCATGATGACCTATGTTGAAGTGACCACTTCCCTACCATTCTCAAAATTATCAACCCTGCAGATGATCCACGTTTTTCAAGAAGTGAGTGAGTTAATTTTAACGTCACCTCGGCAATATTCCAGCCATATAGTGACGAGAAAAGTGTTACTTACACAATAAATAGAAGTTATTAAATAATCAGTCATCGAAGGACTGTAAAATATCTAGACTGACTGACTGAGTTTTTACGCCGCTTTTAGCAATATTCCAGCATCATCACGGCGGGGGACACCAGAAATGGGCTTCACACATTGTACCTGGTTTTCAGCGTGACGAGCCAACGCTTTAACCACTAGGCTACCCCACCGCCCGTAAACTATCTAGAATATCACAGATGGTCTAAAACTACTTGTAAATGTAAAGATATTTCATTTACAAAGACAATACAAAATAGATATGGGCTAGAGGTCGCCAACAACTGAAGGTAGGTCACCATACTAGGAACCATGGGGACTTACATTAACTTTGCTACCTGCATGGACCCTAGCTGGATTTACACCATCCCTTCAGCTGCTGGCGATTGTAGGAAACTTAGGCCGGCAGTTTAAACAACAAACATACTACGTTAACAATGTGGTAAATTTACATTTTACTTTGAAAGTTTTAGGACTTACGTACCCTCTCGGGAGGACAATAATTTTACAGTACTTCAACCTTTTTCAAGAAAACACTTTACCAAAGTTGATTAGTAATTAAATGAAACTATATGAAACACTTAAAGCATGACCTTTATAGTCGTTTATGCTTAATGACATTGCCTGAAGCGCATTTAAACAGAATAAGCGTAAATCTGAGAGAAAGTATGCTTCCATAATAAATTCTCATACACCGATGTCAAGGTGTGGAACGTAAAACAGCGAATAAAAGGCAAAGGTTTAAAATATAATGTTCACCATCTCACAGACGGTGATAATGCATTAACTGATAAAGCTGACGTTGCAAATACACATGGCAAACCTCCAGCCAAACTTTCTGTCCATCAGTTTCAAAAACAACAGTAGAGGAAAAGAATATATTTAAATTCAGTCAATGGTGAAGATCATCATGAATATTTTTTCATTACATTAGCTCCATACCACCCTTGAGTAAGCTCATAATACAGCAACAAGGGCTGATAGTATTCACTATCAGCTCATGAAACATTTGCCTGAATCATGTCTTGAAACACTGCTAAATATATTTGATCAAGTTTGAACTTAAATTAATTTTTCACTTTCATGACATAATGCCATTGTAGTCCCAATACCAAAGCCTGGTGGGGATTATACATCTAATTACTGACCAACATCTTTAACATTTGTAAAGCCATGCAACAAACACTAAATAACAGGTACATTTTGTATTTAGAAACCAATAACCTATCACACATACAATGTGGTTTCCGGAAAAAGTCTAAGGACTACTGATCATTTAGTACGAATGGAATCCGTTGTTAAACATGTTATTGTATCCGAACAACACGTTCTTGATCTGGACAAATCATACAATACTAACTGAAAGCACGGTGTTTTAAAGGATTTGCATGATATGGGTTTGAGGGGTCTCAGTTTACGTTTTTCATAAACGGGCAATTTCGAGTCCGAGGGAACACAGGGCAGTATTTTTTCTGTCACATTACTAAGTATAGAGATAATAAATAGTCTTTCGAAGGTATTAACTGATTCAGGAGATGGATCCCTTTTCATGGATGGATTTAATGTTACTTGTCGTGGTAAAAATATGCATAAAATATAAAGTGAGTTACAAATGTGACTCACTAACATTCACTTGAAATAGGCTTTATATTATCTTAATCAAAATCTAATTGAATACATTTCTACACAACTATAAACAACATAAAACCATATGCGGCCAAATGCATCTTATGTTTGGTTCCTATTTAAAACATTTTTCCACATAATATATAACTTAAAACTAAATGCCCATTTATTGAATGTCGTTTCTAACTCAAAGTTGGAAGGGATCAAACTCCCTTCCTGCACTTATGCAGGTTACTGATCCGCTCAAAATTTTTGATGGCTTCATCGTAAATGGTGAAGCCTGCAGAGGCAACCTCAAACTGCTTGATTCTGTCCACCATCAAGGTCTAAGATTTTGTCTTGGCTTTCGAACCTTTCCTGTTGACAGTATTTCCGTCGAAGCTGATGGGCCATCTTAAAACATCAAATCATTTTTGCAGTATATCCCAAAACTATATTCTAATGAGTCCTACAATACATGTGGTATGAATCCTCTATATGAGGATCTGTATAATAGAAGAATCTTAATTTATTCCATCTCTTAGAATACAAATTAAACTTTTGCTTTCTGCTGCTAACACTGAGCTACAAAATACATCTCCTTTCCGCCTACTTTCGTATTCTCTCTTGCAATTGGTGAGGCCACAAGCCGACGTAACACTGACCACATTCAAGAAATCAGAAACAACTGAATTTATAAGTTAGAAGGTCACAAAACACATACAAATCTGTATTTGCAGGATTCAAGAGTGGTGGCAGTAGCTTGACCACTGTTACTTGACCCAGAACAATATCTTCACGATTACCAAATAAGACCTCTGGTTTCACAGCAGAAGCAACCGCCATATAAACATTTCTTAAATATATCAATAAATACTCAAAATATCAACAATATATAATAGTCACTTTCGTCGCTTTAGGCTATCAAAAGTTGTCTTGTAAACATCCACGTTTAAACAAAATAATTGAATTATATAATGATCTTGCTACAGGCCAATACAACATCGTCTTCTGTTGGTTACCCAGCCATGTTGGAATTTCTGGTAACTCAATGTCCGATTCTGCTGCTGAGGCAGCACTCTGGTGCTGTGACCAGGGGCGTAGCTACCATTAGACGAAGAGCCTGGTTGGGCAAAAAAAGATTTGGCAAGCCCTTAATACTATCTAAATATAAAGCTTTCGAACCTATCGCGCTTACACGAAACAATTTGCTTGCATCGCGCCTGGTGACACCACCGTTATAAAACAGGGATTAGATTGTACATTCGTCATCTTATGCAAAGATAAACCAACTATTGGTTTCAAAGACGATGTTAAGAATATTTATTAAAAGGTGAGGATCTTTCATTCTCAATCCCTTGAGACGCAAAAATCACGATCAAGCATGCACTGCTTCAGTGTGTGAACTTTTCCATCACAAAGGGTAAACATTCAAGTGAAAACAGTGCAGGTTCTTCTCATTTAATTATTGCATTTCTAAAAGGAATAGAATTGTTTGACAATGTTTTTTTATAAATGCTGTATAAATATTATTCCTTTCATAAGTTTAGACTCACGATTGTAAATATAGCCACTTACTTCAGGCGACTTTTCTAAACTAAATTTTGCAAACTATTCCATACTGTTTAAAGGTACTGTTTACACATGAACTGATGTATCGTAAAAAAAATTCGTAACGTTAAAAAGATTATTGTCATGACTTCAATAAATGATAAAAATCAGTGAAAATTGGCGTATTCTTAACAAAACTTTACCCAAAACGCAGCTGTTCACATGCACAATATTTGCAAATGATTTGCATCAATTTGATGCAGGATCCTCGTGCAATTCATCTGCATAAGGTTTGCAGTTGGTTCCCCCAGGTTTGTGGAGAAATCAATATTTTTATGTTACCATGTATATATACATAACATATAGAGAGTGTTTTAAGTGAGTCTGGACTTTTCAAAGGAAGTATAGATAAATGTTGTATGATTGGTAGTTTAAATCAACAGATGGTTGAATTATTGTCCTGAGACATTGAAAGTGAATTTGATATTATATGATGGCAAAATTTGTTTACAATCGCCAACACGAATGGGAGATGTAAATCCAGCTAGGCTAAATCAAGGCAGCTTATGTACTGTAAGTCCTCATGGTCCCTAGTATGGTTCCTCCTGAGAGGGTACGTAAGTCCCGAAACATTTAAAGTAAATTTCAACTTACCAGATTCTTGAAACGTAGTATTTTTG